AGTCATTATTGGGTATATTGCGGTTACCGTGTAAAGAGCCACCCATCCACTCAAAAAATTTCACACGTTTGATCGAAGTGTTTAAACACTTGATTTTCTAAATGCACAATCACATTTACTTTAAGTGTAGGGTTACGGTATGTAATGTGGGTCTAGTCCTTTCATTCGGCCTATCACGCAAATAAATAATTAATTAAGGAATATTACACAAAAAATAAGGAAAATATTGATCACTGATGGTTGATAAATGTGTACCACACACAAATCAATTTATATCACAACATTTCAATACATTTTCAGCTCTCGTAAGTAATAAAACTGGTTGAGAATATCACAATGTTCGGAGTTTTTAGCCGCCATGACTTATAAGGTTAAGATGGGAAGGTTGACTGACGATCATCAAATGGCCTGATTATGGCATTTATTGATTGGAATTACCTGATAATACACACTAGACGTAAAACTTACAGTTGCTGTTTGAATATTTTATGTTTATTTTAATTGTTTAACAACGTTTTCACAAGTAAAACATGGACCCAACTTTAGGGACACATTTCTTTTCTATGTTCCTAACTATGGCCCATGAAATTCATTTGACAGCATATAGCAATAAGAGTAACGTCAACAATGTTGTTTTGCATTTGGATGATAAGGAACGAACAGGAAGGGAGATTTTTTCTGCCAAACCTGTATAATGAACATCACAATGTTCTGATTTAGATATTCTGCGGTCAAAAGACGATAAGCGAAATTTTTAATTTTTAATTTTTAAATTGAGTGATTTAATGTAGTTTTCGTAAAATTTTCTCTAAGAAATGTTTTGAGGAATGAAGAGCATTAAGTTAACAGTGATAGTGATAAAAAAAAATACATCAGAAAACGTTACCAAGAGCGTTTTTTTGAGGATCAAACAAGATAGGACGAAGTTGCATCCATAAATAGACCCAATTTGGGGACAATAGACCCATATTACATACATTTCCCTCGTGAGTTATTGTCTTAAAAAAAGTAAGTTTTTCAACTTTTCGTGGTTTCTGATAGCAAACGACATGATAAGCATATCTAAGCATACCATTTAGCAGTAGAATATCGTTTGCAGGTAAATTCATTGATGAGTTATGATTAAAAACGTAATCGATGGCTGCATATTAGACCGAGGTTAGGGACGTATACCCTATTTCACCTTGGTTCAATGTGTTATACACGTTAATTTATAGTGTTTCAAACTTTGAAATGTTGAAAATCTTTCACTATCTATTCAAGTGTATTGCACATTGAATCACGCTACTGTTCAAAACAGATGGATTTAAAGTGTTTTGCATTTCAATACGATGTGAATTGCTTGCTCAGAAAGGTAAACATCGATAACAAGAGTTGTGACTTTATCCTATCAACCTGCCTCATATATGAGAACAACCGTGGCACAGTGAGATCGAACGAAGACTTCGGCAGCAGCATACCCCAACAGTCCATGATCGAATCCCAAATCAGACCCATTAAAAATATATGTGAAAGCTCTGGCCTCTGGCAGTTTTGTTTATATATTTGTCGATTCATTTTTAGAGTCGGTAAAGTAGAATTCGAAAAAGTAGAATATTGTAGAATATTGAACTATGGTGTGCAAAGCTATTGATATCACCATATGAGACACATAGAATCCAAGTGTGTCACAATTCAAATTCATAGTGTTCAGGCATGGTTCATAGCATAAGATTCACACATGAAATGGATGTGTTTCACAATATGCGCAAAATTAAGTGTGAGACACATGATGATGACGTGTGGAATTTTTTGAGTGTCCGTTTGCGTTGTGTTACACGGTAAGCGCAAAATACCCAATAATGACTACAAAGTAAGCATTTTCGAGGGAAACTGGGACTACCCATTAAAGCCTGGTACGCAGCTGAAAAGTAATGACGTTTTTACGTGCTACGGGATAGGACACGGAATGCTAAAGAAATTTCTTTTCCTTAGCATTTCTTGACCCAGTACGCAGTTCAAAAGAAATCGGTAAAGGAAAGATCGATTACATTAGTATCGTGATCGATATGAAGGTGGCGCATTCTGAATGCAATTTCATTTTCCTTGCGGAATAATGGTCTGACCAATTATTCCGTTAGGTAATTTTAACGTTTGTTGTAAAAATGATGTTTTGGATGCATTTTAACAACATAAAAACTGATAATTGTTGATTTTAAAATTAGACGACACCTACCTATGAACTCAAAATTTAGCAAAAGACACCTCCCTATAGCTGTCAAATTTACTTTTGGGAATATTCCTCAAAAATTACTTTTCCGTTTTCTTTTCAGTTGCGTACCAGGCTTAAAGCCTGGTACGCAGCTGAAAAGTAATGACGTTTTTACGTGCTACGGGATAGGACACGGAATGCAAAAGAAATTACTTTTCCTCAGCATTTCTTGACCCAGTACGCAGTTCAAAAGAAATCGGTAAAGGAAAGATCGATTACATTAGTATCGTGATCGACATGAAGGTGGCGCATTCCGAATGCAATTTCACTTTCCTTGCGGAATAATGGTCTGATCAATTATTAGGTTCTGCAGCGTGACGTCACAAATGAACTCAGTGTTAATAGGCTGAACCTTTTTGACAGTTCAGTGGTACTGTTTACAAGCACTTAGTCGTTTTTTCGAAAAAAAATTTCTAAAATTTCCGAATTTTAAGCCTGGTACGCAGCTGAAAAGAAAACGGAAAAGTAATTTTTGAGGAATATTCCCAAAAGTAAATTTGACAGCTATAGGGAGGTGTCTTTTGCTAAATTTTGAGATCATAGGTAGGTGTCGCCTAATTTTAAAATCAACAATTATCAATTTTTATGTTGTTAAAATGCATCCAAAACATCATTTATACAACAAACGTTAAAATTACCTAACGGAATAATTGGTCAGACCATTATTCCGCAAGCAAAATGAAATTGCATTCAGAATGCGCCATCTTCATGTCGATCACGATACTAATGTAATCGATCTTTCCTTTGCCGATTTCTTTTGAACTGCGTACTGGGTCAAGAAATGCTAATTAAAAGAAATTTCTTTAGCATTCCGTGTTCTATTCCGTAGCACGTAAAAACGTCATTACTTTTCAGCTGCGTACCAGGCTTTAACTTGGAAATTGTCGAGGAACAGTGCGATGAAAGGATGTTGCTCGTGGACACTGCAGAAGTGTAGTTTGCATCTCACTCGAGGGGGGCGACACATCTAAATCTCAAGTTTAGATGGTCAACAAATCTCACACTAGCGAATCAATCTTCGAACAATCTTCTTTCATTTGTCGCATCTACTTGCATCGCTCATCAATTTTTTGCAGGAAATCTTCAGAATCGTCATCAATCTTCTTTCTACACAGCAAAAAAAAATGTAATATCGATCAACGTAATTCAAGCTGATGTATGAAATAATGCTGTAATAGCAAAAAGCAGATACAATATTTCATCAATGGATGTAATTTTGTTCGCAAAATCGATGTACATCGTACAATGTGATATTACACAACCGATGGATTGACCTGGTTGCAGCAGTTTCGATGTAATATTCAACAACTTTTTTTGCTGTGTATCTACTCAGCGTGCGCGCAGCTAGCCACAGCAAAACACAATCTTTTTTGCATCGTAGATAGAGTCGTCCCCCTCGATCTCACTGCAGTCTGAAAAATTATCGAGAAAATCCACCCAAGAAAAAAACGACTAAGTCCACGTAAACAGTACCACTGAACTGTCATCAGATTGAGGTTAGCCGCGACGGTGCAAAACCTAATTCCGTTAGGTAATGTTGGCGTTTATTGCAAAACTGATGTTTTGGATGCATTTAAACAACATAAACACTAATAAGCGTTGATTTTACAATTTGACGACAACTCCCTATAATCTCAAAATTTAGCTGCCCGCATAAACGCGAACCATAAATTGACCTTACCTAAAATGGTTAAAAATTGTTTATAATCCCTGCTAAACTTTGACTGAAATGGTTATGGAACTTTACATGAACGTTTAATGATAAAGTTTCAACCTTATGTATTATGGTTTTTTGGAACTGGACCTTACAAATAATGGGTTGTTAAGAACCATTACCATTCCAAATTCTTGTTTTCTCCATACATTTTCAGAAAGAGAACTATATAAGAACGTTTTTACTTATGATTTGAGAACATTAATGGTAATGGTTATGGTAGTCAGTAAGGTCCATTAATGGTTTTGTATTATCGCTCAACTTTACGTGGAATATATCGTGAATTGGTAATCAGCAAATTACAGGCAACCAATTCGCGATATATTGCGGGTGCCTATAGCTGTCAAATTTTCTTTTGGGAAAAATCCTCAAAAATTACTTTTCCATTTTCTTTTCAGCTGCGTACCAGGCTTAAATTAGTAAAACTTTACCCATTTATGAGTAATTACAACTACAAAAACAAGTAGTAAGTATTCATTTTTGAGTAACAAATACTCATAAATGGGTAATATTTTTACTCATTCAATGGGTAGTCCCAGTCTCCCTCGAAAATGCTTACTTTGTAGTCATTATTGGGTATTTTGCGGTTACCGTGTGACGTAAATGTGACAGTTACACGGAGATGAAAAACAACCCAAAATTAAGTACTTTTCCCTCAATTCCGGGGTTCAGCCCAATAACCCAAATTTGAGTAAATCGCATATAGTAGTTTCCATTTAACACCAGCAAAAAATTACCTACTCTTAAGTATATTCTACCCAAAATTAAGTTTAATTCACGCAAATTTGAGAATATGCAATTTACTCAAAAGTAGCTTATTGGGCTGAACTATATCGTTGGGTCGAATCTCTCGTTCCTTTTTTGACAACAATAACGAGTGCAAGTGAGAGGCTGAAGTCAATATTAAGTAAAAAGAACTCAAATTTTGGGTAGTATTTTTTCTCCGTGTAGACAACAGATTTAGCTGTCACTTTGCCGCAACGCGTCCGATCCGGATCTAATATACGTGGACCTTTACTTTGCCGCAACGCGTCCGATCCGGATCTAATGTGCGTAGGCCTTAACCGATTGCTTCACCTCGGTAATCTATAGCTCATTGCAAAGAAGCCTCTTTACTCTTCTCTTAAGCAAAAAACAAAAGAATTTTAGAAATTCATCAATTGGCACGTCATTGTAAGTACGATAGTTCCTTGAATAATTTATCATGTATTGTGAACAGTGAATATAGGGAAAAATATCATTAATTGAAACTTTCGTCATGGTTCAAGCCAGTTATAAAATCATTTACATCGTTAAAGGTTTACACAATGGAGTCAACCAACCGACCTTTCTCAGCTGGGAGTCGCCAAGCACCCGATCCATATGATCAATTTTTAGAGCGGGAAGGATTTTATCGAAAACATACGGCCCGTGATTCCACCTGCTTGTTCCGCGTGGTATCAGAACAAGTGTTCGATGTTCAGCTGTACCACGGTAAAGTTAGAGACGACTGTGTAAATTTCATGCGCAAAAGACGTGACCTGTACGAAAAGGTAAAGATAATGGAACACATTACACTGAAGTCTTTTTTTACACGGTACGTTTTTAACGATTTCTCGACAACGATACAACCTATCGAATTGATTCCAATCACATTATCCGTTTCAAGCTATTTGTAATCGAATGGCATACTTAAAAAAATCACAATTTTTGGTGTAAATACAGAAATTTTTAAAATATGTATATGGACCATATCATGCTTTCATTACAAATGGCATCAAAATCCGATTTTTTATAAACTTTTAAGCATGCGAAAAATCAAAATCTCGTAGGTTTTTTTTTACACGGTACGTATCCACCGTGTAAAAAAAGACCTGAGTGTATATGATAATATTATGAACTAACAATACATTTCAGAAAATCAACGAGAATTACAACGAATATTTAGATGAAATGAGCAAATATCGTTCCTATGGATCGTTCATCGAACTGAATGCATTAGCACATGTCTATCGGTAAGTTTACTTTATTTTAGCCAGATTATTTTCTTCAATATCGGTAGCTTTAAAAATAATTGCGGAAAAAATTGTATTAAAGCCTACACGGTAACTGCAAAATACTCCGTACCGCTTAAGTACGCATTTTTTAAGGTAAACGGGCTCCCATTTAAGGTTAGAAAGCTTAATCTCATGCTCTAGGCCTGTATGGGAGACCAAGACAGTGGCCCGAAATTATGGTATCACATATTCTTCTCATTTATTTCTTAGCCACGTCGTATGACGTTTATTTAAAGGCACTGACATCAGGTTAAATTGGACGATACTAGTTAGATTAAATAATGTACATTCTATTCGAAACATTTTAGGGAAAACGACTAAATAGTGAACTTTTCAATTGCGTGACGTACGTTCATTGTTTTTCATTGAATGAATAATTAAACATTCGGCGCGTATTTGCGGACGGTCCGATTAACCGTGAAAAATCCATATCAAATGTAATCGAATCCGGTCGGAACCAGTGTGAAATTGTTGTGCTACTAACGGTGCAGTGTGGAAAGTGTTGATATTCACCGGGAAAATGCCCGATCCGGGACGAAAATCACGACTGCATCCTTCCGGGGAGGTCATTTCACTATCCTTGATCCAAAAAATCTGTAATTTTTTTTAGTAAAATTCATTAAAAATGCGTTCGAAAATTAAATTTTATTCGGAATTTTACTTCACTGAGTATAGGTATATTCCCTATTCATCGAAAATTAGCATCGATAATAATAACCGCATCATGTTATTAAAGCTACAGTTGTTGAATCAAATGTAATTGCCAGATGCATTAAATTCCTCAATTGGCAATAATTTTTAAACACTGAGTGTTTCACAACTGAAAACTATCTGCTTTTCACATAGATAACTAAATTATAGGTAAAAAAAAAACATTTTAAATTAAATGTACTTCTTCTTTATACATTATGTATTACGTATAATTAAATGTACTTCTTACATCAAAGCAATTGAATTTCTTACACTTGCTGACATTTCTATATCATACATTTTTTGACAGAGAGGAAGCTTGAACTAATATTTGTTTAAGCTACTTAGTAAATTTTCAAAACAATCCAGAAATTGGTAATGTATTTTGTGCACACTGAAAATAAATCGTATTAGGATTTAAAAGTAATGAAGACATTTGGAATTCAGTCAAATCTGTATTTTCGATAAAAATCTGTATATCTGTATGTACAGAAAATTTGTAAAATACAGAATAATCTGTATATGTGGCAACCCTGTTAGTATGGCGTCTTCGCTGTCGTTTGTCTGTTGATGTTTCCTTTTGTGGTTTGTGCGCGACCGTCGTCGACAGTTAATCGGCACCAATAGACGAGTACACGAGTGAACTTTTGTTCAACTACTGAAAAAAAATATGATACAACAGCGGGGCCCTGTTTACTAAAAATGAACACATGCATAATGCTCGCGTAACATTTCAAAAGGGCCTATAAACTTTTGTAAATAATTTGCTATGTCCTTTTCACGAGAACCGAAGTACGGCCACGCAAACCAAGAGCACTATCGGGAAGGGGAGAATTTCCCCTACCCTATGGTGTTGTTAGTGTGCGTGAGCGAATTCGGTTCGCGCGAAAAGGCCCTAACAAGTTTTGTGTACAAAAAGTGATAGGCCCGTTTCAAAGACAGATAGCGGACATGAAGAACCAGTGGAGGTGCCGGGCAAAGGTGTTTATCCTAGACAAATGGTAAGTTACAAATTCGCTGTTGTCCATGTCGTAGGCGCCGTCGTAGTCGCTGTCGTAATCGCCGTCGTAGTCGGAGGCAGTACCGTTAGTATATTTAAAATTAACCACCAACCGCTGAAAATATGAATTATCGCGTATTTCTGTTGTTCATTACATGCCAAGTAAAATTCGAGAACGTAATTTCATTTGAATAGCTTGTTCAACCAGGTCTTAAACAATCGTCACGTCGGTCATAGCTTGTTATGATTACCTGAACCGTGCGTAAAGAGAAAATCGAAACATTTAACGTCGCGTGAAAATGGCCTTCATCTCTTTCATAGATTTTAGTTTAAGGATTTCAAAGATCGTCGATTGCAGTGGCTTGCTTACTGAGCAGAAAAACGCGGTCCCAGATCCTTTCATATTAAAAATGTATGGTTAGATCGCTTGTTTATCGTGTATTTCGTAAAACTTTTCGTTGTCGTCGGTGCCGGGTCTGAATAGTCATAAAAACTTGACGCTATAATGTGATATGAGGGGCTCGATGGCCTTAGCACAACCGGTTTTGCTTACTGAGCAGAACATCATGAGTCTGTTCCACATTCAAGATTCGTCAATCGTTTTATTTGTTAACATGACTTCATGGTAATAACAGCAACTCGATGATTAAAAAGGAGCTCGTCTGCCTAGTGGCAAACGTTTTTTCTTACTGAGCAGAAGACCGTGGGTTCAATCCCAAGCTCCTTCGCGTTATATTATTGTTAGGACATCAACTCAGCTTATCGTTTACCAAAACGAACCCTGCTGCAAACCCAACCCTAATACCCAATATCCCAGTGATTCCTCGTGGAAGTGCAGAGGTGTTCTCGGCTTCCATCAAAGCGAGTGTCACGTCAACACATTCCTACCCCTTCCTTTCTTGACCTGTGTTCGGGCGCGGCCTGCGCTGGTATTACCTAGTTTGAGATCACCAGTTTTTACACATTGTGGATGATTGCTAGTCCCAAGCATCGTCTATTGGTTCTCTGTTTAATTACAGCTGGTCTGTCAATAACAGAGTAGCAACCGTGGGCGGTCAATCATGCTCATGCTCGTTTCAAATGTTACACTATTATTATTCATGTGTTCATTTTTAGTAAACAGGGCCCCGCTGTTGTGTCACTTTTTGTCGAGTGAGTGAACTCAAATCCATCTGTGCACTCGTCTATACCATCGTTCCGGATCGGCTTGGGATGACACATGATCGCAATGACGTTTATATAAGGTCTAGGCCAAAGGGCTTATTGGTGTTAGTGAAATGTGCAAATGGTTAGTGGTGTTCGTATTATATTGCAATGTTTATCTTGTTACACGAAACAGCTGTTGGCAGTGACGTATTTCTATCTGTTCTCAGGCTGTGTTCCATTTGGTGAATTTTTACTTAAATTTGACAGATGGAAAATTTTCAAATAAACTTGCTTAAAATAATCCACCAAATGGTTCAGAGATTGTCTCTCTTTATTAGTTTTTGTTTGTCTTGTCCCCCCGTCTCGATGAGTCTCATCGTCGCCCACTGGTCACCCACCATAGCCGGTCAAACTCCGGACGAAGCTAGAACAGCACTACCGTTCATACTGGCGACAACGCTCTGATGAGACAACGAAACCCTACCCCAAGCTCCTCCCCTGATCCTATCCTTCGAAAATGTACCCTTCTAACCTCGAGTAAGCCGCGAGTAATCGGCCCAACTCCTACTAGACATAGAATTAAGTGAATTTTGTTACACACAGTGAACAATGAATTATCGGCTCCGTAAAGCTAAAGCGATTGAGCCTTCCAAATAAACGAACTAGATAAAAAAAAATGGTTCAGAGCCTTAAATGGTGCATTAGTGTCCACCGATTAAACGTCAAAAAGCTCTATACAGAAAAACTAGCACGCAATATGAATGCAGCAAAGGTATTAAAGAAAGAGAGAGTCGATGAAGAGAATCTATCAATGTAGATTGGTCTATTTGAAAAGTGACGGGAGAATTCGCTATAAGTATCAGATTTAAAAAAAAAAAATGAATTATTTTCAGCATATTATATTTTAATGTTGTGAATTTTATATGCATGTATTATCGAAATGTTGTTTATTTAGGTGCGGGTCAGTATCCCTTGGCTCCAGAATACTGGTTTTTGATTATTTCAATTTTCAAATTATTTCGAATCAGTATATTTTACAATTCATTTAGCAACAGTGTGTGAGTTTGTTTGAATCTAGTATTCTCGCGGCACTTTTCAAATAGACCAATGTAACAAATGTAAACAAATCGAGTTAGGCGATACAAACTATTGCTCTTCTATCATTGTATGTGATACAAAAACATCCATCCAAATTTACTTTCATTTATTTAAGATAATCATAGGTAAAAAATTGTCCACTATACAGTTTGAAATGATGGGTACATGTTTGTTACTTCGGTCATTCGGACTGCCTAACATGATTGGTGCTCATTTTCTAAAGGCGGGACCAATCTAAAGTTAGGTACTCTACTATGACATCTGTGAAAGGGAATCTAGTATCATGTAGAACAAATCGTCCAATGTAACACTAATTGATTATGTCATTGAAAAAAATCGTCCAATGCAACATGTCTGATGTACAACTTGACTAGTCAAAACGTCCTATGTGGTTTTTGCTATATTGTAGCTTGAAATTCAAATCAAAATTGTGATTTTACCGTTTCTACTGAATTTTCAACGTTATTATTCACTGACTACATTATTATTATTATTATTATTATTATTGTTTATTGAAAAATTCAAGTGACAATTATTGTCTAAATGCATAAAACTTAAACTAAATAGTTGCGGTCAACGGTACGGAAAAGGCCAAGTAGCCGATGACGAAACACGTCAGCTGATACATTGAAGTCGAACATATAAAAATTGTTGAATTGCCGGCTGATTGCTCGAATTGGCTCGTGTTGTGTATAATTCCGGCTCCTTGGTTCCAAAAACAGAAAGTCGCGTTGACGAAGAGACCTCTCAGAGGCATACATATTTAGCTGTTACAGCAGTGTTGGACAGTCAATGTCACCTGTAAGCAGCTTTCCAGTGAACATAGCTTGATCGACCGTTCGTCTCACGTCTAATGGCTCGATTCCCAGGAGACGGCAACGCTCCTCGTACGGTGGCAAGTTCGTTGGGTCACGCCAGTTGAGGAAACGAAGAGCATATCTCACAAACTTGCGTTGAACGTGACTCCAATAAGGGTCGCACTAGCGAGCAGTAAAGTGACCCGAGGCATAACGGGTCACGAAAC